GGTGGAGGCCTGTGCGTGCAGCTCCCACCGCCGTGCTCCCCTCCTCTCCCTTAGGCGCTCGCTGACCTGAAGGGCAGGACAGAAGACGTCCCCTGCGTGATCGGGGGAGAAGAGGTGTGGACGTCGACGGTGCGGTACCAGCTGTCGGTGAGTTTGGGGGAAAACTCGTATTTAACAGGAGAGAACAGAGCAGGGGGATGTACCCGGCAGGAGGCAGATCTCTTGGGTTGGTAACGACGGAGGCGTTTCTTCTCTTTGCAGCCATTTAATCATGCGCACAAGGTGGCCAAGTACTGCTACGCCAGCAAGGTGAGCACCCCTCACCGCCCACCCTCTGCCTTTCGTGGTTTTTGGCCGGGTGGGGGGGAAAGCGGCAGCACTTTGCCGGGGTTTAGCGAACCTTATCTCGCAGCGGGGTTGCGAGGTTTGCAGCGTGATGGGCTTTGAGATTGCTGGTGGGAAGCGTGGGTGAAACGCAAATGGCTGCTCAGGTGGTGAGCGGGGATGCTCCAGGGGCGGCTCTTGGCTTTCCACATCCCGGGGGGTCCTGGAACAAATTGGTACCAGGAGCTGCAAATTTGGGGTTGTGCTGGGAAGGTGGCTGCTGGGGTTTGTGTCCGGGGGTGGGTGGCCCCTCGCTTTCCCCTCCGACCTGGTGACAGAGAGCTGGTGGGTTCCTCCTTGCTGCCTTTCCCCTTTTCTTCCACAGGAGCTCATTAACAAAGCCATTAACGCTGCCTTGGCGGCACGGAAGGAATGGGACCTGAAACCTGTCCAGGACCGAGCCCAGATCTTCCTGAAGGCAGCTGACATGCTGAGCGGCCCGAGGCGAGCAGAAGTGCTGGCCAAAACCATGATCGGGCAGGTAACGAGGGTGGGGGATTGTCCCGGCGGATAGCTGGGGTGAACGGGAGGGAATTTGGGGAGCTGGGAGCCGGGGACGGAGGGCAGGAAGAGCTGCCAAGGTGGTTTTGACAGCGGGAATGGCTGTGATGTGCCTATAGCTGTGCTGCGGGGGGATACAGGCAGATCCCTGTCTCCTTGCTGAGGGAGAAGGGAGGTGAAGGTGGGAGTCAAACTTTGTGGGAGCGGGATCAAGTGATGTGGTGGGCTGCGATCGACAGGGTTTCCCCTTGCGAAGCGCCCCAGCAGCCCTGGCTTTCCCGGGGAGGCCCTAAAGGGCGGTGGGAGAGCACGGGTGGACACGATGTCCCCTGGCACAGCCGTGGGATGCGTTTGCCCCCGCTCGATGCGAAGGAGACGTGGCGGGATGGGGGCTTGCAGGAGGCCGCATCTTTCGGAAGCGAGCGCGTGGTCTGCGAGCAGCCCACAAACTGCATCCCGATGCGCCGTGCCGCACCGCTGCGGCTCACGGCTCCCGCCTTCCCTCCCCAGCCTCCCCTCGGGGCTTTTATTTGATGTGACCTCTCCCGACAGGGTAAAACAGTCATCCAGGCCGAAATCGATGCTGCTGCAGAGCTGATAGACTTCTTCCGATTCAATGCCAAGTACGCCCTGGAGCTGGAGAACAGCCAGCCCATCAGCGTGGACGTCAGCACCAACAGCATGGTCTACCGGGGGCTGGAGGTGAGGAGAAGGGCTGGGGCTGCCCCCCCTGCTTCTGGAGCTCCCTTCTTTTGCCCCCAGCTGTGGGGTCACAACCACGGCGAGAGGAGGCACCGTGCTCCCACCGCTCCTTTTCCT